ATAGATTTCCTCTTATATAAAATATTACAATTGTTCCAAATTAAAAAATTGTGTGGCGAGAAATTGTGCTTATAAATAAGTTTCCAAGCCTGAAGCATTTGCTGATGAAAATTGGAAAGTTTGATAGGCAGTTTAGTAATTGAGAAATTACACATTAATAAAAAGTCAATGCCTCCTAATTGAGAAAAAATATAATTAGGAATTACATTCCAAATAGAAGATTGATTGTGGAGAAAGCGTTTAAGCCAATTTATTTTTAAGGTATTATTAAGTGAATCAAAATCTATGAAGTTTAAGCCGCCCTTATTATAGGAATTTAAAATAACTGATTTTCTAACATAGTGCGTTTTATTCTTCCAAAGAAATTTAAACAGCATTACATCAATCAATTTACAGGTCGGTTTATCTACAAATAAAGAATGAGGCGCATAGGATAACCTAGAGATGCCTTCAGCTTTTGTAAGTAAAGTCCTACCTTTTAAAGATAAATCTCTTAGTAACCAAACATTAAATTTTTTTTTAGTTTTTTCTAATATAGGGTCAAAGTTTTCCTTACATCTTAGTTTTATGTCTTTTATTATTCTAATTCCTAAATATTTTACATTCTCTTTGACAGGAATATTATAAATAGAGGTGGCAACACATTTTTTAATCGGAAGCAACTCACACTTATCAATATTAAGCTGAAGGCCAGAAGCATTAGTAAAAAACTGAAGAGACTTTAAAGCAATTGGGATCTGAGAGACATCTTTTAAAAACAACGCAGTATCATCAGCTAACTGGCTGATTATTAATTCTGTTCCAGCGACAGAAATTCCTTTAAGAGGACTTTCTTTAATATGTAAACTTAAAAATTGTGTAGCAATTAAGAACAGATATGGGGAAATGGGGCATCCTTGTCTTACACCACGCTTTAAATCAAATCTGGGAGAAGTGCCATTATAAAGCCGAATAGAACTATTTCCATTATTATAAAACATTTTAATACAATTACAGAAAAAACTAACAAAACCAAGTTTATGCAGGGCCTGTAATATAAAATCATGTTCTAGGCAATCAAATGCTTTATAATAATCCAAAAAAAGAATAAAACTGTCAGTAGAAATAAGATCTGAATAATCCAATAAATCTAAAATCAAGCGGATATTATTAGATATATGTCTCTGGGGTATAAAACCTGATTGGCACTCATCTATTATACTATTTAGAACAGATTTTAATCTTTTTGCTAAGACTAGGGCAATAATTTTATAGTCAGTGTTCAATAAGGAGATTGGACGCCAGTTTTCTATTAAAAGGGGGTCTCTATTGAACTTGGGTATTAGAGTTATTAGATCCTGACATAAAGTAGGAGGGAGCATTAAATTCTCAATACTTTCTAAAAACATTTTGTGTAAAAAAGGAGTCAGTTTTTTTTTAAATAATTTATAAATTTCTGCAGACAACCCATCAGTTCCAGGGGATTTATTATATTTGAGATGATCAATTGTCTCAGCAATTTCAGTAAGACTAATAGGTGCATCACACAGAAGACTCTCTTCAGAACTGATTTTATTTATGTTGGATAACGAATCAAAAAAATGTGTGGCGGATGCCTGACAAAATTTAGAAGAGTATAAATCTTTATAAAATCTGGCACAAAATTCTGCAATTGTTTTGAGGTCCTCAGATATATTCCCGTCAATACGTAGTTTTTGAATAGAATATTTAACTCGCTGCCTTTCTAGCCTAAAAAAATATGCAGAGTTCTGCTCACCCTCTTCTAGCCATTTTCGACGAGACCTTATGAAGGCACCTTCAGCTTTTTGTTTATATATATCTTCTAAAAGATGTTTCTGATCTATAAATTCAGATCTCTCTGTGTCGGTAAGATCCTCTATATTTTTATGTGATAATACAGATATTCTAGCCATAATTTGATCTTCATTTTTTTTTTCGAGTTTTTGCTAATAGACTACAATAATTTCTACAGTATTTACCAATTTCAAATTTAAGAAGTTCCCAATTGCTACAAAATAAATTTTCTCTATTAGCTTTATGTTTACAAGTGTGGAGTCCCTTGAAGGAGCTCCGGATGGAAAGTTTTGTTTTGTGTTTACCTCATAGTTAAAGTTGTTGCACGTCCGCCGGTTCCTGCCTCAAAATGAGCGAGTTTGAGCCACTTGTACATCCCGGAAGTGTTCAGGAAATGCAAAAAAGTAGCGAAGAAACTCGACACAGAGGAACATTTACACCTCACTGCCAACTAGCGTTTCGGAAGTGTTAATGCAGACCGGCAGAGACAGCGCGCAGAAGTATAAATGCACAGCCACGCACGTTGCCTGCGCCGTGGGTTACGCCGGTCACCTGACGCAGAAGTATAAATCAGGCTTAAGACGTATTAAGGCTTATTTATACCTCTGCGTCAAACACCGGCGTATGCTACGGCGCTGACGCATAGCCCATCGCCGTGGCCGTCGCCGTCACTGACGTGCACCTCTCAAAAATTGTAACTACACGTCGCAACAACGCGTAGCGCAAGCTCTGTGATTGGTCAGCTTGCTAGCGCCGACGAGTCTGGGCGGGACCGAGAGCCACGCGAACGGCGCGAGCGATTGTTTACAAGTGTGGAGTCCCGTGAAGGAGCTCCGGATGGAAAGTTTTGTTCTGTGTTTACCTCATAGTTAAAGTTGTTGCTCGTCCGCCGGTTCCTGCCACAAAATGAGCGAGTTTGAGCCACTTGTACATCCAGGAAGTGTTCAGAATAGCAAAACAGAAGCGAAGAAACTCGACACAGAGGAACATTTACACCTCACTGCCCACTAGCGTTTCGGAAGTGTTAATGCAGACCAACGGAGACAGCGTGCAGAAGTATAAATGCACAGCCAGGCGCGTTGCCTGCGCCGTGAGTTACGCCGGTCACTTGACGCAGAAGTATAAACCAGGCTTTAGTGTAAACGGGGCCTAAGTGTGTATTTTTCGCGAACGGGGGCATGATGAAGGATCGTGTTGTCTATCGGCCATCGGCGATGGCATCGTTTATCAGCCCCACCCTAGTGCTTTCACACTTGGTTCAATTGCCTTGTGTGAACCCAAGTTTGATTAACCCCCCTTGCGACCTTCTCGGCTGGTTTGTGCTCACACTGTCTTTTGTCCTATGCTTGCATCAGCAAGCTGCTGTTGTGTGTACAGATGTTGCTAGGAGATGGATGGCCACGAAAGCCAAGGCGCCAAAATGGAAAGACGTATACACATAAGAGTCGTTCTATTTATACTGAATCTTTCGGTTTTGGTAACATACAGTGAGCAACTTGTCAATCAAAAATATAAAAAACGTTCAGAGCATAAAACGATGTCTGCAGAAGTCTTTTTGGAGGAGACAAGCAGACATTTTCGCTGTGTTTGCACTGGGTCAGTCCCGCTTGTAGCCAAGGTGACAACAGGTGATACACAGACATACGCACACAAACGAACGTTATGAAAACTAAAGTTTGTTGTAAATTTGGCAGTTCACTTGTAACTTGTAACACACCATTTGGTACGATTGCATTCACATCAGAAATTAACCATACCCCAGACCACCTCTTTCAGGTGGACTCGGGTACTGTTCGTGAGTACGCACCTGAGTTCAGAAGACAGCATTAACACTAGCTAAACATACCAAACTCTGAAGTCAAACAAACCAGTGTGTGGCCAAAAGTGCTAGTGTAAAAGCACCACAAGTAGAATAATCAGCCATGTGATTCCTGTTCAATCAACTCATCCAAAGAAAAAAAAATTGCAGAAAAATCCGACTACTCTCAAGGCTTAGACACTATGCAGGAGTATGTAGTGTGGAGACATTAAAAGTGTCCGAGAAGCAAAATTGTTACACGCAATGACGGAGACTGTTTAGAGCAAGGGTGCCCAATCCTGTTCCTGGAGATCTACCTTCCTGCAGAATTCACCTGTTTTTAATTAACAAGTGCTGCTTTAGATCCTACTTATGCTCTGTTCACACAAATATGCGCATTTCTAAAACCGCACGATTTTTTTTATTTGCAGTTTCGCTGTTTGTCCACATTTAAACGCAGTGTCATGTGACTGAAACCAAAACTTTATGAAACTCCAGCCAGGGTGAAGATTTTCTAAAACTCTGGATAGTGTGGTCATGTGGCTACTACAACTGGAGTTTGCTCCTCATGACATCAGTGTGGGTGTTTTACATTAAACTTGGAAGACATAAAGGAGGCAAATTCTGAACGTTCGTGGCAAACACATCGCGTAGTGAAGTTTATTAATAAACTTATTTCAAGAGGACCACATGCTTATTGTACTTTCTACGTCTTTTCCCTAATCAGCCTTCGATTGATTCACCAATCAGATGATTTGTAACTCACCATAAATAAACAGATTCTTACCTCAGTATCTTCGTCTAGAAAAAATCCCCCTAACCCACCCCTGCTCCCCCTCTTTTCTAGATGGGAGATACGAAGGCCCAGTGAATAGCACTGTTGCCTCACAGCAAGAATGTCTCTGGTTAAAGTCCCTACTAAACCAGTCGAGTTTCTATGTGGAGTTAGCTCATTCGTGCTCGAGTGCGTTTTCCCCAGGTTCCTCCCAGTCCAAAAAACATGCAACCTAAGTAAATCCAACATACCAATTTGGCAACATAGTCAAGCTCTTAGCGAGCTGTATATCTCTCCTTAGCATCTCTTTATCTGTCGTTAGTCAGAAATAACTCAGGGGAGTTCATCGAGATCTACCTGAGCTTAAACTCCCCTCTTGCTCTGCTAACGGCAGGAAGCCCAGAGCTCGAGGATCTTATAAGCTCAGGGGTCTCTCCCAGGACAGCATACAATCCTCATCTAAGTGTGAATTCCGTGTTGTTTGCACTGCGGGATGGTAATCTACCTCTTTTCTCATGCTTGCATTGACTTTTATGCCATTTACTTGTGAAAATACTTCTCGCACCTCGTATGTTGTGGACGTTAGTGATAAAAATTCTGCATTCGGTTCGCATTGTGAATTGCACAGGTAAGTACAAAAGGATTTGCTTTAATTCTCCATTCAAACACGACTAAGTTGGGTAGGCTTTCAATGACTGGGCATAACTTCACACACATTAGATGCTTGACTCCCCATAATACACAAAACCTTTATCAGATATTAACTAAATTATTAATTCCTTTTCAAAATATTTTCAAGTGCTCCAACATGGTAAAATATTTTCCCAATCAGTGAGGTAGGTCCCTTAAGGCAAATGTGAAACTTCCACAAGAGTAATCAACAAATAAAATCCACAATATCCAAACTATTACAGTCTATACAGAAGAATAATATTAAATACCACAAAATTAAACCAAAAAATAAAACGGATATGGAACTGATGTGCATTTGAAAACTGACAAATATGTCTCTAGTTCACTCTTTGTACAGTATATGAAGGCAAGATTCAGAACTCAGGACCAATGACATTACAGAAAGACCCAATAGAACCTCCCAAAAAGGCAGCAAAAATACACTTCTGTCACCTTTAGGCATTACAATCCAAACACAGAATAAGAAAAATACATTTTCCTTTTTAAAAATGTTAGGCCACCCAAAAATACAGCTCTTAAAAGCCACATTTAATACAAATAGTAGCCCCCCACAGTGACCAAGGGGAATCGAATCAATGGCACCACACGGTCTCTTATCGGTTCTTCTTGTTTTGACTGAGTCCATTTGTTTCGAGGCCGTCCAGATGGAGATGGCGAGTGCTGTATTTACGGATCAGAGCTCCAGGCAGCAGGGCAACACAGGCAGTGAGAAGCAGCTTCAACACCACACTCCAAGAAAACAAGTCATCCAGAGAGGAAATCTGAGACAACATTGATCCCGTCTGGACGCAGATGAAGTTATACGGCATCAGGCCTGAAAGGGAAGTTCAGATGTCAGCCAAATGCAGATATCAAAAGGATATCTTCTCCGTTGTTATTCAAAGGTTTACCAATGAAGACAGCCATGAAGAAAAGAGTGACAGGAATATTCAGTATTGGTGAGGTCATGTTTAAGAACCAGTTTGGACTCATGGGAAAGAATCTCAGGAACAGCAGGAAGAAGAAAAGGCTGCTTCTGTTTTCCTCGACCTGGACAAAAGTAAAAATTATTTAAGTTGGAAAACGAAAATCAAGCAACGATTAACATATTTCATTGTTTCTGACTTCTTAGGAGACCACAATAACTGGATATACCTTCTTCTGCAGCATGGCAACCTTGTCAGGGAAGAGTTTCACAATGTGATGTTTGCCAAATGCCTGGGACAGCAGGAAACAGAGAGTGGCTCCTACTGTTGTAAGGACACAAGTAAGAAGAAGACCAAACCATGTCCCAAACAAGGCCCCAGCCAGGATGTTCTGAGAACAGAGTCATAAACCTGAAGTATGAGTCAAGATCAAGTATACAAAAGGTAGATGTTGTACAATGTTAAGAGTACGGTGTTTGTGTTGACCAGGGGTTTCCAAACTTGGGTGTCCTGTTCTTTGGCTCGAACCCTAATCAAACACGCCTGAACGAGCTAATCAAGCTCTTACTAGATATACTAGAAACTTTCTAGCAGGTGTGTTGAAGCAAGTTGGAGCTAAACTCAGCAGGACACCGGCCCTCCAGGACCTAGTTTGGACACCCATGGTGTTGATGGTCAAGGATAACGGTGTCACGATCCTCCAAATCCTCAATTCGATTACAATTTTGATTCTAAAGTCACGTTGCGATTAGATTTTCGATTATGAATAATTCATTAATGACCAATTAATTATTTGTAGCCTACCGTTTAAACTACCTGACTGGCATGGTCTTTGTTTTACCCATAAACAAATCATACAGTAAATGAATAAAGGCAAGTTACACACATAATTACCACCTGTCAATCACTTTTTTCTGCAGGACTCGTAAATAGGCAGTGATCTGTGTCGTTATAATGGCGTCGGTAAAAAAGGTGCACAACCAACAGGAACCAGCCAACAGTATCTGAAGTGTTCGCTAAAATGACTAAGTACTTGTGTGAAAGTAAAAGATAAAAGCAGTCTACTGACCCACTGACTGCCTTGACCCGCTGTCTCGAGCGCATGACAATGTGTGTGCGTCTTGTGTCTGTGTGTGAATGAGTGTGTGTGGTCACGTGATGTGCGTTTTCAGTGGTAGTGAGGAAGGAGGGCTGCTCAGAAATGCTACACGCCAGTGTTAATGTGGATCGTTGTCGTTCTAAAATGCCATTTAAAAACAAAGACATATTAGTGTAAACAGGGCCTGTATTTTTCGCGAGCGGATTTGCAACGGGTGCGGGCCGGAGGATCGCGATGCGCCCATCGTCTATCATCCCAACCGTAATACGTACACAGCAGAGCTTGCAAACTGTGTTTTTTTTTTTTAATCGACAACATGAACGTTGTCAACATAACTAACTGGAAATCCAAAATACTTCCACACCGACGACTTCATTGAAAGACGAGAGGATTTTAGCTCTGTCGACGGGTCTCCAGCGTTTGCAGTTTAACAAGCATGTTTTTTTCCCACTTGGCAAGCCAAGCTAATATGACATGGGGGCGGCAGCATCGACGATTCTATTTTTTGATTCGCTAATCGTAGTTGAGCATAAATTTCGATCGATTTCAATTAAAAATTTAAATCGTGACACCCTTAGTCAAGGATGTGTTCTATTCTAAAAGGCTCATCCCTGTGCCACAATCTAGGGGTGCTGAATTCTGTTTCTGGAGATCTACCTTCTTTTTAAGTTCAAATTCCAAATTTAATTCCAATTGGTTCAGTTGCTGTGTTCAACTCCTCCTGTGATGTTCCTACTGTCTGACAAACGACAAGAGTTGACTTTGAATCCAGAATTCCACCTACTGATTTATGCACAATAAGATATTACATTGACATATTTATATGATATATTCATTCATTTTCATTTCGGCTTAGTCTCTTTATTAATCTGGGGTCGCCACAGCGAAATAAACCGCCAACTTATCCAGCATATGTTCTACACAGCGGATGCCCTTCCAGCTGCAACCCATCACTTAGAAACATCCACACACACTTATCCGCACATACACTATGGACAATTTAGCCTACCCAACTCACCTGTACCACATGTTTTTTGGACTTGTGGGACTTGTGCAGTATTCTCGGGCATTATGTTTGAATGGGGAAACATCAAATTCTTCAAAACTACTTGCAAAGAATATGATTACATTTCATTTACAAATAACCAATAAAATTAAACAACAACCGTCTTATTTAATATCTTAAAATTTTCTTATTACACAAAAACTCACGTCTGGTCCGAGACCCTCCCCTGAAGATTTTTCATTCTATAGCACCTAGGCTCCTGTACTAGAAGACAGGCTTTAATTGCCATATAGCGACCACTGATTGGCTCCTGTACTAGAAGGTGGGGCTTCATTCGCCATATTGACAGTTACACTTTTCCCCATTCAATAGTATACGAGTGACAAGTCTTGTGTATTCTATAGTCTTTGCTCATTGCAGCAGTTGCCATGATTACTACTTATGTTTGGAGGAAGCATATTTATTTAGAACTGTGATCAAAACTGACTGGAACTACTTTTCAACGAAAGTAATGCACAACCTCCAGCCAATCAGAATCAATAATGTCAACAGACCATGGAATATAAATCAGTGGTTCCACTATGTTTCTCACTGACATGTTGGAAACTCTGAGGTAAAAGAAATTTTTCCACTCGTGATAATGACTTTGTGGTGACAATCATGTGCTCCATTTGATCAGGTTTGGAGCTGAACTCTGCATGAATGTAGATCTCTAGAAACAGGGTTGAGGACCTCCTTAATCAGTTTACCCTCCAGAATTAAAATAGGAAACTAAAAAAAAGGTTTCTTAGAACCCACTTCTGTCACAAATGAAATGTGCGAGGAATGAAGGGAGCAAAAAGTCCTTCATTTTGAAGAGTCCTTAAAAGTGGCCAGTTTTGTGCACTTCAGTTTGGATTGATCCTTCAATATGGCAGCCATGATTGTTCTCACTCCAAATGGTTTTTTGGAGAGTTTATGCCATCTGGACTACAGCACAAATTGACCCCTGTTGGCTTTCATTTAATTCACCCAAAGTCAACAATATAAATGTCTTAAGTACAATCATAAACTTCAGTGGTTTCCCACAGACTGGATTTGAATGAATATTGTTTCAGCCTTATATGACACATCCAAAGACAATTGGAAACACTTCAGGAACTCATTCATTCATTTCCCTTCCGCTTAGTCCCATATTTTAGCAGGGGTCGTTGTAGTCGAATGAAACACTAACTATGCCAGCATATATGCAGTGAATGCCCTTCCAGCTGCTACCCAGTACTGGGAATAGAGCTATGAACCTACACTAGTCTCACGATTCGATTCGGTTACTATTATCATACTATCGATTCGGTTCAATTCGATATTTCGGTGCATCACGGTGCATTGACAGTGCTTTTCATACACAGTTTTAAATTTTCTTCACAGCAGCAGTTCTTGTATTAAAATGTATGAATATATGTATATACTATTTGTAATACAATTGTGTCATTTAATACAAACAGTCAAAAATAAAAACTGTACCTTTAAACAACACTAGCATTTAGCAAATAATATAAACCAATATAAATATCCAGCTCACTTTCTGATCCTTGTCTAGTTCTCTTACACCTCTTTGATTGGTCACACCCTCAACAAAAACGGTTGCGATTGGCTCTTGCGCACTACGCTCTTCACAGATTAGTGACACTGATAAGCGGCAGGGGCGATCCCAGCGGATCCATGATAGATACAGTGGAAAAAACTCTGCAGAACGCGCTCATTTCTGTATCCAGAAGTAACGCTGTAAAACAGCCAAGAAGAAAAGTCACGCCAAAAGGTCAAATGGGCCACTGTGTGTGTGTGTGTGAGTGAGAGAGAGAGAAAGAGAGAAATTGAGTACTTTCATTCTCTCGATCTCAGTGAAATAGGGGCTTTTGCTGTATATGTCAGTGAAAGACTGATCCAGCAAACACACAGTGAAATTGCGCACAGTTTTGAGTTTTAAGTAGTTAGAGCGTTGTAAATACTCACGCTCGCCTCCCTCGCGACAGAGTGCTTATGAGGTAAATGACGTCAGTAATAACCGGTTAAGGTTATTACTGAACCAATACCGAATTGTCCGCATCTGCATCTCGGTGCTCCGAAGAAACGATTAATTTTGACACCCCGAACTGGGAAACACCTATACACTCACATACACTCACACACACACTACAGCCAATTTAGTTCATCCAATTTACCTATACCTCCTGTCTCATGACATACCACACAAAAAAGTAACTACATTTCAAAAGTAAATGAATAAAATGTCTCACAACAGCAGTGATTACAGTCAAGTGTGATTCTGTGTGCAAGCTATGCTCTTACTAAAAAAGAGGAACCTGGGATGGCAAAAGCCTGCTTGTAGAGGTAGGCACTGCAGAAGAGTAGCAGCACATATCCCGTGTGCTCGGTCTTATAAAACTGCAGCAGCTCTGCCATCTCTTTCAGCTCATCCAGGTCTGATGGAAACTTCAACCTGGACCAAAATAAAGTCACATGACATAGTGGACATTAGTAAACATGCATGAACAGCATCTCTGGAGGCTAAACATAAGGTTTAAGGACACAGTACTCAGACACTCTTTTGCAAAGTTTAAAATCAACAGCTCATTGGTTACCTGCCTTGATATTAAACTGTAAAATCAGAAGTTAAAATAAATTAGCTATTGATCATTTATTCAATTCAACTCAAGTTTATTTGTATAGCGCTTTTATTGTTTCAAAGCAGCTTTACAAAAGATGAACATTATTGCATTACAATCAAATTTGGAAGTTAAGCTTATTAGTTACCAATAACTAGGCCAACACGGAACCTGTGTGCGCAGAAATTCACAGATTTCCACAGATTTTCAGCCCATCATCGAATCTATTTATTTAGCTGTGTGTAAATGTGTGTACATTTATATTTATTCGGTTTTTACATTATTTTCAGTAATATTACTAACTAATTTGAAAATGTCCATGATTTACTTACAATAGGGTTTGTAAAGTAATGTCTGTCTTTTAGTATATACAGTGTATCCAGAAAGTGTTCATAGCGCTTCACTTTTCCACATTTTATTATGTGCAGCCTTATTCCAAAATTGATTTAATTCATTTATTTCCTCAATTCTACACACAATACCCCATAATTACAATGTGAAAAAATAAAAAAAATTTAATTGTTGCAAAATTATTAAAAACAAAAAAACTAAAAAAAAAAATAAAAAAAAAAATCACATGTACATAAGTATTTACAGCCTTTGCCGTGAAGCTCTTAATTAAGCTCAGATACATTGTTTCCACTGATCATTCTTGAGATGATTCAGCAGCTTAATTGGAGTTCACATGTGGTAAATTCAGTTGATTGGACATGATTTGAAAAGGCATACACCTGCCTATTAGGGTTGGGCATCTAAGCTATAATGCCGATCCGATACGCATCTCGATACAAAGAATACGATCCGATATATTAGCGATACATTTGTGACATATTGCGATGCAACACGATACGATTCACACCCATATCACGATACGATGCGATATTTCAGCACTAACTAATTAAATCAGGTTTATGAGATGATGTGAAAGAGGATGCTGTGCCATTGAATGAGTTTGATTATTTATAAACCAAGCAAAACCAAGACTTTTTTTACAAACTGGCTCTTCTCTCAGAGCCAGAGTGTCAGTTTACAGTAGAGGGCCATTTTAGAACCTATAGCACATATTATTTAAGTATTTTCAAGATAAACAGAATGTATAAGTGCAATATATATTAAAAAATATGTATATATTTGCACTCTTTCAACATAAATAAATTTAGCATTGCACAACAAGAATTGTGATTTAACTTTTCAACTATGAAAACAAGTTTTACAAAGATATATTTTGCCACTGATTATTCAAAACTTAAGGTCGTGAACTAGCAGTGTTATGCTGCGTTGAAACATCACTGTCACTGTAAACAACAGGCTGATAAAAATATAACAAACCAGCAATCTTCTTGCTGTGAGGTGGTCAAACTACCCACTGTGCCACCGTGAAACCCATTAGTTTTATCATTATTATTATTAATATTATTATTATTATAGTTAAATAAAAATTAACAGGAGGAGGTGTTTAAAACTTTCGTTCTCCGTGACACTAGGCTGAATATCTTTGCAGATGAACAATGCAATAGCATTCGTTATTGGCGTAGAGCGAGCAGAACTGTTGCGCATGGAAAAAAAACTTGCAATGCTTTTCTCACCACTTTTGGAGCTGGTTGAAGCAGTGCGAAAGCCGGGGATGCAGAAACACTGGAAGATGCTTTCACAACAACACCGTGGCGCCGCTTCAAGTGAGATATCAGATTAGTCGTACTGCCCGCGTATTTTACAGATGCGCGGCACATTTTGCAAATTGCATCTGTCCTGTCATGTCGTCCATCCTTAAATCCATAATGTTGCTTGCCATACTTTAGATTTAAAACTCAGTGGGGAATAAAATGTTTTGTTTTGCTTCTCGCACTTTCTGAGGGCGCACCACTCGCTTCATCCACACACCTGATATGAGTTATAGTGAAAGTGTGCACATGCGCAAATCCGTTGCTAAGGCTTACTTTATGTAGGTCGATTAAATTATGCGCCAAAAACAGGTTGACAACAGTTGTTAATAAATAAAAAATACATTCTATATTAAAAATATAAGCTGTATCTCGGAAAAATCGATGCATCTCGCAAAAACCGATGCATCTCGATTTGCTTCCAAAATTTCATTCATCCTCTGCTGCTCAACCGATGCACTCGCATCGTGCACGCGCATGACCGCGTATCGATACATATCGGTTAATCTTCCCATCCCTACTGCCTATATAAGGTCGCAGGGTTGACAGTGCTTGTCAAAGCACAAACCAAGCATGAAGACAAAGGAATTGTCTGTAGACCTCCGAGACAGGACTGTCTTGAGGCACAAGGCTGGGGAAGGTTACAGAAAATGTTTTGCTGCTCTGAAAGTTCCAATGAGCACAGTGGCCTCCATCACGCGCTAGTGGAAGATGTTTGGAACCACCAGGACTCTTCCTAGAGCTGGCTGGCCATCTAAGCTGAGTGATTGAGGGAGAAGGGCCTTAGTCAGAGAGTTAATCAATAACCCGATGGTTACTCTGTCTGAGCTCCAGCATTGCTCTGTGGAGAGAGGAGAACGTTACAGAAGGAAAACCATCTGTGAAGCAATCCACCAATCAGGCCTGTATGGCTGAGTGGCCAGACAGAAGCCACTTCCCACCTGGAATTTGCCAAAAGGCATCTGAAGGACTCGCAGACTATAAGAAGCAAAATTCTCTGGTCTGATGAGACTAAAATTGACTGAATGCCAGACGTTACGTTTGGAGAAAACCAGGCATTGCTCATCACCAGGCTAATATCATCCCTACATTGAAGCATGGTGGTGGCAGCATCATGCTGTGGGGAACAGGGACGTTGCTAGGGTTGAAAGGGATAAGGGGCATAGCCCCTAAAAATAACATGCTAGATGCATGAACTCACTGTGATTTAACCATTACAGAAACAGATGTGACTGGCTATATTATATCTAGTTAAATGTGTCTAGATATCTATATCATATTTAGAGAGCTAGTACAATTTATGTTTTTCTGACTAATTTGCATGTATTTACATGTATATGACGCACATTTTATTGATAAGTTATTTTATTTCACTAAAACCACGCACATTTTATACTATAAAAACATATATTGAGCTTCATCACTAGTTAGAACTATTCAGTTTCGCGAAACATATATTATTACCTCATAAGCTTCAGCTCTTCAAAATAAATAAGGATGGCAGTGCAGTGGCGGGATTTTTTTAACACCATGTGACAACAGTGCCACTCCTACCTGCCAGTAGAAACCGGTACTGCTGAACAACTGACAGTTTAATAACCCAATACAAATGCTGCGTTAAGTTGAATGTGCGTGATGTATGTGATCATTTTAAGTACTTAGATAACTAAATAAATGTTATACAACCTAGTTTTATTTAAGTGCAACATATTCCAAAAGAATACCTTGCAACGCCATTAGTGGGGATGTTTTTTTCAGCAGCAGGAACTGGAAGACTAGTCAGAATAGAGGGAAAAATGAATGCAGTAATGTACAGAGACATCCTAAATGAAAACCTGTATCAGAGTGCTCTTGACCTCAGACTGGGGTGATGGTTCATCTTCCAGCAGGACAATGACCCAAAGCACACCACCAAAATATCAATGGAGTGGCTTCACAACAACTTGGTGAATATCCTTGAGTGGCCCAGCCAGAGCCCAAATCTAAATCCTATTGAAAATCTCTGGAGAGATCTGAAAATAGCTGTACACCGTCGCTTCCCAACCAACCTGATAGAGCTTGAGAAGTACTACAAAGAGGAATGGGTAAAAAGTTTTCCAAAGACAGGTGTGCCAAGCTTTTGGCATCATATTCAAAAAGACTTGAGGCTGTAATTGCCGCCAAAGGTGCATCAACAAAGTATTGAGCAAAGGCTGTGAATACGTATGCACATGTGATTTTTCAGGTTTTTTGTTTTTATTAAATTTTCAACAATTTCAAAAAATCTTTTTTTCACATTGTCATTATGGGGTATTGTGTGTAGAATTTTGAGGAAATAAATGAATTTAGTCCATTTTGGAATAAGACTGTAGCATAGAAAAATGTGGAAAAAGTGAAGTGCTTTGAATACTTTCTGGATACACTGTATATGGTAGATATATTATGTGTTTCCCAAATAAGTGTATCTAATTGGATTGGCATTGTAAACATTAAATAAAAGTTAAAAAAAAATTCAACATACTACAAATCACAGTTTATTTACAATACACCCAAAATCATTCTGCATAAATAAAAAATGTCTGCAGATTCTGTCTGGCCCTACTAATTACCTACTGTAATTACCTAGCAACTAATAGCTTTAAACAGTTAAAGTTATTATATATAAACATGGTTAACCTGCAGTTATTTACCATATAGGTGACCTCCATGTGTACATGTACATTTATAAAATGTAAGCACATGTCAAATTGGTAAAAACATTTAAAGGTAGAGGTAGAAACATTTGATGGACATCCCATCAGGCATTTTTTTTTTATTAACATATGTCCAAACATGGATGGCTCTACTAAAACAAAACTAAATTTGGGCTGTCAGTGAAAATCTAATAGATGTCCATCCCAAAATTAGTCTGTACGTGTGGTCATTCATTCCTGTGTGTTTGATGACTAGTTTTTAGCTATTCTAAGGTTCTGGCTTTAACTATTTTTCTGTAACCTACTATGAAATAGACTTGAAAACGAGAGTGATATTAAAATTACATATACATTTTTGGGCAAAATGTATGCTGTTGGCATTAGCAAAGGCAAACATGTTTGGACACAAGTGAGCAAGAGAAAAAATAAATCATAAACAATGTATTAAAATAAGATTTAAACAAATTAAAAGGTTGAGCTACTTGCATATTCAAGAATAAACTACTGCGTTTAAAAAATGGTAACTTAGGACAAAAACAGATCTAATTTCACTACCAAAGGACAAATGACAGCTGCAGACAAGGACAAGACAAAGAGGATCCATTACGTAAACGCTCCATAAACAGTCCTGTTTTTCACACTTTCGCCAGATAAAGATTCTCTAAATATTTTGCATAAAACTGATTTAACACAAGACAAGTCCAGCTGTGAGAGCTACAAATAGCGAAAGAGCCAGTATTAGAGAAGCACACCTGGAGGAGGCAGTCTCCATTTCACTAGGTTCGTCTCCATCTTTAGCGTCTGTCGTCTCTCCTTCATGGCTCTGTTTATGCAGCTGAGGTCCAGGAGGGAGAAAGACGGACAGTGAATAAAGGTAAAAAGTGGCCGTCACTATTACAGCGACCAGTCCAACAAGCGAGCGCATGACGGAAGGTCTAGAGGGCGCAGATGCAGCATGTCCAATTCGATGCGGAGAACTTCCGGGAGCGGCAGTACGAATCCTACATAAACGAAGGCCACACTGAATAATAATTAGACTGCGCTGCCGCTAATTGGTTGCGTTCTTTAGCGTGACTTATTACGTGTTTATTATTCATAAGCAAAGCTAGTTGATGATTCCCTAGTTTACAAAATAGAAATTATTACATTTGAGGTTTTAAAATTAAAATGAAGCCATGGTGTAATAAATCAAAACCGGTGGAATATAAATGTGATAAAACATCGCATGCTGTAAAAGCACAACAAAGTGTAAAACAAAACTTAAAAACGCATGAAATAATGTCTCGTGTTTTTTCTTCCCATTTAACGTTTTTTTTTTTTTTTTTTTTTACATTTTGAAATAAATTGTTATAAACAATTATAAACAAACTATATGATGATGCCATGGGTAAGAAAAATAAATAAGAATAAAATAATTTAAAATAACAGTAAATTAACAGTTAATTAATAAAAATTAATAAACAGTCATTTATATTCACACAAAGCTTATCTTTTAGCTTTTCTATTTCTAATATTTAACACTGCAGTACCATGTTTTTTAAATCTCTTTTAACCGTATAACGTTTTTTTTTTTTTTTTTTTTTTTTTTTTTAAATTAATATACGAAAATGAGAATATATAATCACAGTTTAACCGTATAACGTTAAACATTTATACTCAGTTTGACCTGACGTCACGTTACGCAATCATGAGCCAGCCTTCGCCATAATAGATGTGTAAATTCGCTTCCGGGAATGGAAGGGTGTCCTGCGGTGACCAGATGTGATTTTTATTAACTTTTTATGTTTTAGTTTTTCTACTCTCAGACAGTTGCAGCAGAAGAGATACTGAAAATGTGACCTGTCGTCACTTTAAGACACGCACAAATAATTAAAGAAGGAGTGGGTGTGATTGCATATTGGCCCACTTGAGTTCTCTGGTCACAAGTTTCAAAGTCCTGAAGTTCTTTCTACGCATAGCAGCACAGTTGAGCTCAACATAATGGCCCGATATGAACTTGTTAAACGATCAGTAGCTCTGATCACTCTTACTAACCCACCAGTCAATGCCTTAAGGTGAGTGAAAACTTTATTGTTAAAATAGTAACGTTAAAACGTTTATTGTTAAAACTTGCACTTTCATCTTTTAATCAATTTGTACGTGTTCTCAATAAATAAATCTCAAACTATAGTGATTGATGAGCTCGCACACATTATATGGTTGAATGTAATTGATCGCATGTCCAAAAAGTTTTGCATATTTAAAATAACAATAAATAAGTCATAAAATTATTACAAGTTTGCAACAGCATCATTGAAATGACTATTCAAGAGCTTTATTATAAGTTCATTTAAGTCAGTATCTGTATGGATTAACTTGCTCTTTCTTCTCAGTTCTGCAGTGCGTCATGCCATCTCGAAGACCATGGAGCGAGCCCTGAGTGACCCAAAGGTCACGGCTGTGGTGATCTGTGGAGAGAATGGGCGATTCTGTGGAGGTTAGTATATAAAACCAAAAACAAAAGATTGCTTTTCTGTGAAATCTGTCAACTATGACTCCAAAATCTGCAGACTGGCTCTGCCTTTTGGCAACTAAATAGCTAGACTTTGGAATTTGCCACCAGCAAAACTCGACTCTTCCAGCCTTCCAATTAGGCCAAAAGTCAACTTATTGTAGCTTAAAGGGGTTAACATTTAAATTTGCTTGCTATTTGTGTAATGAGACTGTACATTAAAGATAATAATATTGTAAATAATCTTCACTTTTTGTTTATATTCATATTATCTCAGTGTGAGGTCAGGAGCCATGTGTTTTGTTTTGCTTTGCTTTTTTTACGCTCTTGACATTTTTTCTTTTTTTTTTTTTGAGTTGTTGACCACCATGGACCGTGGTTTCAGCTAAAAGTCCTAAAAATCCACCTGATGTACCTCTTGGACGGTCCATAGTTGAATAAATAACTATTGGCATCTAGTGGAATTACACAAGAAAATATATTTTCAAACGTTTTTATCCCTTTTACTCAAAAATACATAAGATTAATCCTATTTTTACAATATTTACTGTTTCATATTGCGCTAATGTTTGACCAAGCGCAAGTTTAGCATTATGCTCTGAATGTTTTTGCTTGTACTCGGAGGCTTAGTGCTTAAATTTTTTTACATAATATGAATGAATTGCATAATAGTTGTATATGCTTTTGACGTGTACTTACAGTGTTACTACCGAAGAAAGTGCAAGGATTTATAAGGCAACTACACAGTTAAAGGCTAGGTTCAGGGGTAGGTTTAGGACTAGCTACTCAGGTTATATAATGACTATGACACAGTAAGTACTTTGTATGCAAAACAGTGACTTTAAAACAAAGTACTACCAGAGTTTCCCCAAAAATGAAAATTACCTCATAATTTACTCACCCTCAAGCCAACTTTGGCGTATATGATTTTGTTCTTTCAGATGAACACACTTCAAGTAGTTTTAAGTTTTATTCTTGCTCTTCTGTGCTGTATAATGCTGTTGGGTAATGTCATTTGTTGTTTGTTGTCATCTTCTCTTCACATAAACTGTGTGGAGCTTCTACTACTATCCACATTCGTCTGCTCTCAACAGAGCTGCTGTAAATGTGTCTTACATACAGTACAGTATGTCAAGTCAGAGGTCAGCCAAGAAATTGTTGGGAATGTTTATTGTAAATTCAAATAAATAAATAAAAAGTTGCAGCAGAGCGTTTGGCAGCCACTGGAGTCAGTGATTTGAATTTATAATTACAAAATGTAAAAATATTTTGTTACTGAAACAAATAAACCCTCTGGCACCATGTAAGTTATTTTTATTATGGATTTATTCACTTTTTAAAGCCTTAAAAAGGGCTCCTACCAACAGTATTATACAATATGGAAAAGCCAGAATTAAATTCAAAACAAAGAAAGTCAAAGAAACCGAGGTAGATTGAGGGTGAGTCAATTATGGTGTCATTTTCATTTTTGGCTAAACTATCAGTCCAGGGAAAATGCATACTATTTTATGAATTAAAATAGTAATTTCTCACCAAATCGGTTTATTTTAACATAGTTTTAGATACCTCACTTTCTAGAGACCAACTCATGCCAGATGTTGATGCATTCTTCTGCAGGTGCTGACATCCGTGAGTTTGCTGGACCATTGAGAGGACCTCCACTGGTTCCTTTGTTGGATGCCATAGAGGCAGGAGAGAAGCCTGTGGTTGCTGCCATAGAAGGGGTTGCTTTAGGTGGAGGCTTTGAATTAGCCCTAGTCTGTCATTACCGCATTGCACACTACAAGGTAAACCATTTTATGCTGCTGTTTATTCTTTAAAGCATTCATTCTAACGACTAGCTTGCGCAATGCTGTCCAGTGCTGATCTGGTCTTTAGTTAATTTGTTGAACTTTGATATCGATGTTTCTCCAAGTTATCATAGCAGGGCAAGGTTGTTGTTTTGTGGTTTAGAAGAGAACTTGTCCTGTATTATGTGTTCAAGGCACGTCTTGGACTTCCAGAGGTGACTTTAGGCATTCTGCCAGCTGCGGGGGGAACACAGCGTCTACCCAGACTCATTGGAATTCCTGCTGCCTTAGAACTGATCACCACTGGTAAATCATACACTTATCGCACTGGCAAACCGGCAATTCATTCCAACTGATTTTGGCCCCATTGCTAACTTCAATCACACACTTTCTCTGCAAGACCCCCAAAAACATTTTGGACAAAAGTGAACAGGTGCAAATGCGTGAAATATACAATTAAAGACAAAATAATTAGCCCAGCTGTGAAATTTTTATTATTTTACAAACATTGCCCAAGCAAGGTTTAACAGTAAGAAGATTTCTTTCTTTCATTTCTTTTGTCTTTGCCATGATTACAGTACATATTATTTTACTAGTCAATTTTTAAGATACTTGTGTTTAGCTTAAAGTGCAATTTAATGGTTTTATGCAATTTAAACATATTGTATGGCGATGATTATAATAATTTTATAAAAGCATTTGTTATAACACTGTAGTTATACCAATATTAAAAACATGAATGTACATCAGAGTTTACTGTATGTTTAAAGAAACAGTCTATCTTGAAGTGAATCATATTTCCAGTAAAAATCACCAAAAAATGTCAATAAACCATCCTGGGAACTACATGTACAATAACATGTTAAATTTACCTCAGTAAAAACATTCATTGACCAAAACTCAACTTAACATGTTAAATTTAACTCAGTAAAAGCCATTCAATGATCAAAACTCAACATAACATGTTAAATTTACCTCAGTAAAAGCCATTCAATGACCAAAACTCAACATGTTAAATTTACCTCAGTAAAAGCCATTCAATGACCAAAACTCAACATGTTAAATTTACCTCAGTAAAAGCCATTCAATGACCAAAACTCAACATAACATGTTAAATTTACCTCAGCAAAAGCCATTCAATGACCAAAACTCAACATGTTAAATTAACCTCAGTAAAAACCATTCAATAACCAAAACTTAACATAACATGTTACATTTAATTACTTCAGTAAAAGCCATTTAGTGACCAAAACATAATATAATGTTACATTTCTCTTAGTAAAAACCATTTAATGACCAAAATTCAACATAACATGTTAAATTTCCCTCTGTAAAATCCATTCACTGGCCAAAACTCAACACGTTAAATTAACCTCTGTAAAATCCATTCCATGACCAAAACTCAAAATAACATGTTACATTTACTTCAGTAAAAGCCATTTAGTGACCAAAACATAATATAACATGTTCAATTTACCTCAGTAAAAAACATTTAATGACCTAAATTCAACATAGCATGTTAAATTTACCTCTGTAAAAGCAATTTACTGACCAAAACTCAACATAACATGTTAAATTTACTCCTGTAAAAACATTCAATGACCAAAATTCAGTTAGCAGAAAAAACTGTACACAGAGGGAGTGATTTGCTGAGAATATTCCCTATGTATTACCTCATTCTGTTCTCAGGATTGAAAAAGACTCCCACTAGATGTCAGCATTGTATATTGTTTGCAAATGATTTAACTTGGGCTTACAACATTAATTCATCCAAAAATTAACACATACCCTCATATTATTCTTGATTCATAAACTGTTAATTTTACAGTGGAACACAAAAGGAATGTTTTTTTTGCAGTGCTTATTTCATACATTTCTTTTGAACATTCTCTAGACGTTTATTCCTGTGGTTAAATAACAGCATGCAGGATTGAACATTTGTGAGCGCAAGTTATTAATTGAAATTTTTGTGTGAACCAGACGTTTAACAAATGAGCACAAATGTGATTTCAGTTGTTTTATGATTACGCTGGGATTTTCCTCACCCGGTGTCATAATATATTAAGAGAAATAGTCTAGTAAAGCATCCTACATGGCTCAGTTTAGCATCAATTGAACTATTTATTTCTTTTTTTTTTTCTAACAGGACGCCACGTCTCAGCCCAGGAGGCTTTGAAGCTGGGCATGGTGGACCAGGTCACAGAGCAGAATACTTGTGAGGTGGCTCTGGAGTTCGCTCTGAAGGCTGTAGGTATGTTTTGTGCCTGTGAAGCAGAAATACGGATATTAAACGAGCGTAAGGGAATCCGAGTCTTTGGCAGGCTTTCAGAGTCAGGGGGGACGCACCAGATAAATCCTTTGTCGCAGCAAATGGAATTAATGTTTCATATCCTTGTCAACGAGATTCAGAGCCGTTCTGTGCTGCTGATCCATTTTTCAAGAAGTGAAAAGGAGCAAACATTATTCGAATATTAATTGCGGCCCTTCTGAGCACTGAAGAACGTTTTGAGCAGATTACATTTTTAATAGCAGTCAAGTTCTTGTGGAGTATTGCCTGTCTTTTATTCAGTTTTATGATAAGATGTTGTTTATATGATCTAAAGCTCAAAAAACATGGTAATAATTGTATTTAGGGACTGGCTGTTATGATTCAAGGGAAGTATAAAATCTTTATTAATGATCATATATTGAATAGTGAATTTTCTGCAAAGTTATTAGACGCTCTCTGGAAAATTAATGTCAATCCTTCAACTGCTGCTTGACCCCTCATTTCCTCCAATAATGAAAGAATCATTTGAGAGCAATTAAACCATTGAAAGGACTGCTTGATTCATGTGAAGCGATTCATCTTTTGGAGGTCTATGGTAAAGCGTTGCTGTTGGTTGTATTCTCGCTGAGGCTAGGAGAGAGCAGATCTTTTGTAATGTGACAGTCTTACGGAGAGATCAGGGTTCATGTGGAGTCAGGATAAGCTTTGGAGGGAGATTAAAGATTGGCCACACAACTAATGCTCGCTCACTGTAATCACACGCTGAGCGAAGATCAACACGGCCAAATCCTCACAACAGTCAACTAAATGGAATTGCAATAGCAGACGTGGCACAGGTATAGTGGACGTGAGCCAAATGCACCTGACTTCACTGACTGAAGGGAAATGGCTATTGTAAACAGTCCAGAGCATTCAAATATGGCAGGATGTAAACATGTTGACTTTACCGGGAATTTGTTTAAAAGGGAATGACCAGGAACTAGCCTTGATGATCAAACTCATGAATGTGAATCTTTTTACCTTAATAGAAGTATATTATATTATGATATAATTTCCACTAGGGTGGCACAGTGGCTCAGTGGTTAGCACTGTCGCCTCACAGCAAGAAGGTCACTGGTTCGAGTCCTGGCTAGACCAGTTGGCATTTCTGTGTGGAGAATTTTCTCTCCATGTTCATGCGGGTTTCCTCCGTGTACTCCTCCCACAGCACAGAGACATGCGCTACAGGTGAATTGGGTAAACAGAGTTGGCCGTAGTGTATAAGTGTGTGTGAATGTGAATGGGGGTTTTCCAGGGTTGTGGCTGGAAGGGCATCCACTGCGTTAAACATATGCCGGAATATTTGGCGGTTCATTCCGCTGTGGTGACTTCTGATAAATTAGGGACTAAGCCGAAGGAAAATGAATGAATGAATAATCTGCATTAAAAGAGTTAATTTTACCCAGAAGTCTTCACAAAAACAAAAAAGGCAACATAACAAATCAACACAAAGCAAAAAAAATAAATAAATTTGAACCCTAACAGGATACACCTAACATTGTTAACACTTAGCAACAAGTTCACGGGACAAATAAAGCAGAAAAACTTCTGAATGCTCACACTATTTATGGTTAAAGGTTTACACACTTATATCTACTAAAATGAAGTGTACCAAATCAAGTATGTTTCAAAATATTTGAATCATACTATAAATTTCCATTTTGTTTTAAAATTTCGCTTTAGGACGAGCCGCCATTTGTTAAAAGCTGAAATAATGTTTGATAGTTATCATTTAATATATTTATGTAGCTTTAATATCTCAAGTTTTAATTGTGTACTAATAAAGAATTTACTTTCTTATTTTTGTCACAGTATATTTATGTGTGTATGTGTACTGTGTGTGTGTGGCATTGCTTTTATTTGGTAAAATTTCAATAAATTATGATAATAATAATAAAAATTCAATTTATTAGCAAGTATTTAAATAAAAAAAAACAATAATAGTAAAAAATGTCTATAGAAACCTAAATCCATTCATTCATTCAGTCATTTTACTTCAGCTTAGTCTCTATTTCAGAGGTCGCCACAGCACAATGAACCGCCAACTTATCCAGCATATGTTTTACACAGCGGATACCCTTCCAGCTGCAACCCAGTACTGGGAAACACCCATACACTCTCACATTTACACACACGCATACACTATGGACAATTTAGCTTATTCGATTCTCCTACAGCATATGTCTTTGGACTGTGGGGGAAAACGGAGCAAACGGAGGAAACCCGCGCGAACATGGGGAGAACATGCAAACTATATACAGTAATGTCAAATGGTCCAGCTGGGACTCGAACCAGCGACCTTCTTGCTGTGAGGTGACAGTGCTAACCACAGAGCCACCGTGCCTCCCAACCCGAATCTACATATTAGAAAAGGATTGATAATGAAATTATTTAAAACAACATTTAATACAAAATAAAATGTAAGAAAGTAATACAAATGAGTATAGTAATTGTATTTAAAAATATTTCAGCTTTACCAACTCAACAATTTTGCACAGTAGCAATATAAGAATATTATTATACTTCATAATGATGATATAAATCTTGATGATGATATTTTGTTGTACACTAAAAAAATGCAGGGTTCAGAATTCATTCATGTTGTCCCAACACAAATTCAGTTAACTTAACTCTTTTATTGAACATAAAAATATTAAGTTGTCCCAATAAAATCTCAAGAATTGTGTTGTTTAAGCTCATTTTAATTAAGTAGTTTGAACAAGTAAAAAAAAATGTTTGAGTGTATCATTGTTTTTGAATCAGTAACAAGATTAAAGATTTATTAACGTAACCTTTTTGCTATTTAAATAAATCAACTATTAAACATTCAAGCCATATCTGTTTGGTTTAGCTAACTATTTAATTAATATTTTATTTTTGTTATAATTTTTAACAGAAAATAATGTTTAAAGTAACCATGCTGATTCTCCCTCAGCACATTTTGTAGCATCTCTCTCTCTCTCGTCTCTCATCGCTACAGAGATTTATCTTGCTTTGCAGTTGCTGAAACATCTGCCACATGCACCTATCAGGATCTGACCCAGCCGTACTTAAATAAATCACAGCATTAGTGATTCACGTCCAGCCCACAGCATCACAGATTAACCACACAAACATCTATATCATCCAGAACAGCACAGCACAGCACACTAGATATCAGAAGTATACACTCAGTATACTTTTATTTACTTGTTACTCATATTCACTGAACATTGAAAATACGTCCTGCATCATTTGCAGATTATCGCTAAATTGAAAGAAACATGTAACATTTGGTGCTGCTAAATTTAGGATATAAATAAATCATAATCTTTAATGTATGACACAGGAGGCCAAAACAATGTTTTCTTCATGCATCAGTACGTTTTGAGATTACAGGCTTTTTGTAATGTGCTTTTGTGTTATTTTTACTTCAATTAAAATTAATATTTTTAAAATAAATTGTCTTGAAAAAGGATTGTTTTAATTTTAAATTGAAAATAAAAATCTTTACTTCAGCAGCATTTACATACACAACAGTTTTATCCTTATTTTTACAGAGGGATTTGTTAATGCAGAAAATTCCTGATTATTTACGTTTATTTTTTTGATTTATCATAGGATTTTTTTGAATTATTGAATCATATAAAATATTTATAAAATCTCCTCAACACCCAAAAAATATTTTTAAACTACTTATTTAAAATGAGCTGAAACAACACAATTCTTGAGATTTCATTGGGACAACTTATTTTTTTATGTTCAATCCACATAAATTTGTTAAAAGTGTTGAGTTAACTTAATCGATTTGTGTTGGGACAACATAAATAAATTATGAGAAATTAAACAAGAATTTTAAACCTGATTTGATTTGATCTATTTATTTTCAAACAAAAATATCATACATAAAATATCAAAAAATACGTAGCAACATGGTTGAAAATGGAGTGGGATGAAGCACAAGCTTATTATTTTCCCTCCCCATTACCACATCCATCATTCATGTATTACTTAAACTTATTTCTTCTTTTACCTATCTCTTTTTTACATGAAACATGTTTTATCCTTTTTGCATCTTTGACATTATATGTTTGAATTTGTTTGTACCTTTACATTTTGTTACATAGACCCAAAGAAAAAAAAATACAGGACTGCAAATAGCCATTAGTTCAAATGTCATCATACCTTTCTCTTTTTATCCTTTGTCAATCACCTTCATCATTATATTTCTTTAGTAATATATATTTATACAACTTTTTAAATTGATTATTATGCTGACATTGTTTGAGAGTCTGATCTAGACTGTTCCATAGTTTTACACCACATATAGACATACACAAACTTTTTAAAGTTGTCCTTGTTTTTAACCCCCTAAAATTTAGTTTTTCTTTCAGATTATATGCCCCTTGTCTTTCTTCAAAAACATTTTTATGCATTTTGGAAGTAATTTATTCCTAGCTTTAAACATAAATTGTGCTGTTTTAATCTAACCAAAAATAATTTAAATCTAATAATTTAAATCTAACCAAATCATTGAACTTGAGGATTTTTAATTTAAAAAATAAAGGATTTGTATGTTCCACGGCTCATAAATTAGATTTATATGTATTCCCCCAAATTTCAACACAACAACTCATATATATGGCAATATAAGTGTGTTAAGTAATATATACATTGATTTATTGTCCAGGATAAATCTTGCTTTATACACTATTGCTTCAGTTTTTACTAATTTTGATATTACATTATTTATTTGCGGTTTTCAACTAATTTTATGATCCAATACAACACAGACAAACTTAATTGCATATACTCATTCTTCATCTATTGTTCAGATTTTGGGCTAGAAATGTGTATAAATTAGTGAATATTCAATTAAATAACATTTCATTTAAATACTTAGACACAACATTTGTCAAAATATTGACATTTTTTGCAATGTTTTATATGACCAGTCAACTGTAGAAGAATAACTATTTTTTTTAGCTCATTTACTTGCAGTGTCCTGCATTAACAGTGGTGAAAGTGGACAAAAATGTTGGTTTGTGGTTCTGCTGGCCCTTTAAAGCTCATCAGAGTGACCCAGATTCCAGAGAGAAAGATGAATCTAATGCAGTTAGACGCTATATTGAATCAAGTACCGCCCTGCGTAATCCTTTTACTGAGGCAGGAAGTCAAATGCTAGAAGCACTAGAAATTCAGTTTTGATGAGCTGTTGTGTGTGTGTGTTGATTTGTTGTGTGTGCATGTATATGCGTGGCCAGGAATGTAGAAGTGTGAATGGGTGTAAAGCTGAGATGTAGACATTGACGTTGTTTGGCTCATTGGCATTTTCATGTTATACTTCAGCGGGTTTCAAACTAGCATCCATAGACTAGTTCCAGTAAAAAAAAAAAAAATAAAATAAAATAATTAGCAATTAGCACATAAAGTGTTCTTTGCAGCAAAGCACAAGTCCCGATATTCCACATTCGACAGATCTTTAAAGCCAAATTAATTAAAAGTTCCCCTCGAACTGAAAGCACAGCCATGTGAATAAAAAAATAACACATGTATGGGTAGGTTTTTACATATATTGTTGAAAAATAAATATGTACATATATATATAACGCCAGGTTCAATACTCTCACAGGTCCCCTGAAGTGCCTTGAAATATGCAGCTTTGTTTGAGGTGACAGTTTCCTTTTGAAACTGGATGATGGGCGGGACATGAACTGATAGCCCATCCCCTTCTTTAAAAATAGACAATAGTAGGGCTGCACAATATATAGTTTCAGCATCTATATCGCAATGTGCATGTCTGCAATAGTAACATCGCAGGAGTGTTGAGTTTAAATGTTGGGATTATAGTTAACCAGAAGCCACAGTTCAGAACAGAAAAAACTTTTGGGGTAACTAAAGAGCTTAACCATAATGCACTGAAAGTTTCAGCCTGATTGGTTGCAAACTATTTATGTGAGCTGAATTTAAACAAACAAATTAAGTTGAACATTACTACGATTAACTTGTTTGTTTAAATTCTGCCTAAATAAATTGTTTGCCAAAACTTATCTTAAATTTAGAAAATCTAATGATTTTTTTTTCAGTGTACTTTAAATCTATTATGTTTTCCTTCATATTTTTTATAGGCAAACCACTGTCTTCTCGAAGACTGAGCATGCTGACCACACCGTGTCCTCCAGGTCTGGATGGCATATTCGAAGCAGCCACCATGCAGGTCCAAAAGAAGGCTCGAGGTGTGATGGCACCTTTGGCTTGTGTTCAGGCGGTGCGGGCAGCTACACTGCCTTACAGTGAGGGGATAAAAAGGGAAGGTGAACTGATGGCCACTCTCTTCAGCTCAGGCCAGGCTCAGGCTCTTCAGTACAGCTTCTTTGCTCAGAGGACGGCTGAGAAGTGGACTTTACCCAGTGGAGCTCAGTGGAACAATAGCAAACCCAGAGAGATCCAGAGTGCGGCCGTCATAGGTAACAAATGAGAAAGTCTTTATTATATTATTTATGATATTATATTTTCAACACTACAGTAGGTATTACTTACATGGTTATAGCTTATAATAATAATGATAAATACATTTTTATTGGATTTGACTGACTTTCATTATGTAGACCAGGGATTCCCAAACTTTTTTATTCCGGGACCCACCTAGGCAAGTAATTCAATCTCAAGACCCACCATAATATTTTAATATGGAAAAATGGGTAAAAAAAATTGTATCTATTCAAAGCAGTCAAAAATATATGGTGTGTGGCTTTTTGGATTTTGTGATTTGATATGCACAAGATGAGGCTTGAACTGCTTTTTTTTTTTTTTTTTTTAACTGTAATCAATTTTTTGTTGAAAAAGATCTATGGCCTTCCATAACATTAGGTAACGTTAAAACTTACAGATAGCACTATAGCTATTTATTGATTAGCAATCTGTCAACGTTGGGATGTAAAAAATATGGGACAACAAATAGCTTTAAATAAAGAATACATAGCAAACATTAGAAAATATTGACAATAAAATAAAAGGTTTAGCCAATTAAAATCAATGGCTTATCCAGAAACTAAATAAAGCTCTAAAATCTATTTCACTTTTAATTCTTTTGCATATTGATTAAAGTTACTATAGTTCTTTGAAGAGTAGCAAATTAATCTCTCATTGTGTTTTGTTTGATTGTGTTTTGTTAATGTAAGAATGCACAGATCTATAATGAAGCATTCGACTACTTTAGTAACTGTTTGTGGTCATTTAAGAGAAAATTAGTAGTGTTTAAAATAAAACGCACTGGACGGAGCAAAAAAAAAAAAACGAAAAAAATAAGCACTTTTCCGACTGTCCCTTACTGAGAGCTCCGCTCTGCGCAAGCTCTACCGGCTAAACGCCAATGCGAGAGCTCAAGCGGAGCAGTGCTCATAATGTCGAGCGAAAAAAAAAAAAAAGAAAAAGACAGTTCAATTCAATTCAATTCAGCTTTATTTGTATAGCGCTTTTACAATGTAGATTGTGTCAAAGCAGCTTCACATAACAGCTGTGAAACAGCTGTGAAACAACCAGCTTTGTCTTTTTTTAGGAAACACACTTTAGATATTTTTAGGGTAAGAGGTTTTTGATTTATTGCCGTCAATCATACCGGTTTTGATTCACCAAAATGTAAATATAGCTGCAGCTATGTGACGTTGCGCGACCCACCTTTGTTCACTGTGCGACCCACTAGTGGGTCGCGACCCACAGTTTGAAAACCCCTGGTGTAGACACTAAAACTTTTACAGTAAATAATAATAATAATAATAATTTCATAAATCATGCATGTCATTCAAAGTGACTTTCTTCTGTGGAACAAATATTATTATGATTATTAGTACTGTTGTTGTTATTATCATTATTATTATTGTTATTATTATTATTATTATTATTATTATTATTATTATTATTATGTGTGGCATTTATTCACATTTCAAAGTTATTTAAAATTATTTAACTTAAAGTGATTTCAATGCTGACATTTGGAACATTTGTAGAACAATAAAAAACTTTTATATATTAAAAATGTATATTAATTGTCTAATTTCTGTTCAGTATTCTTATCTTGGGCAGCGTAGTACGCACTAATTGGTTACTATTAAAGGGTCATGACACCCTCCACTTTCGGTTCAGGTCTACCTCAGATTTTTTTTTAAAAGATGCATCATAATGGGCGTGGAGCTCCGTGAGCAAAGGGCAGGAGTGGGTGTGGCCAGCAGGGGAGAAGGATGGGAGCGAACAACTGTTGTCAGTCAGCTCACAAAATGAGACACAAACTGTGAGGAGACGCATGATTTTATAGTTTACTAAGTTAAAATGCAAAGAAATAAACAGTAATTTAATGCTCTGCTACATTTGTTATTCGTAACTTCATTTATCGATAACCACAATTTATTTAATTATAAAGAAATTATGGAATAATAAAGTTCATATAAACACTACAAATGAGGACTTATCCCTCAATCTTCATGTCTGAATGCAGACTCAGTACAGCAGGTCTCTTGCCCTGTCTATTTTAACCATTAGCCCTGTTGGTAATCTAGGGGATGTAGGCAAAAACAGCAGTACGACGATGTGTCTAAATGTGAACAAACTCCTGATAAAAGACAACATCCGCCATTCTCCAATTCTCGTACTCCTCTCTCGACAAAAATGCTTGCTGCACACAAACAGCTTTGCTGTATCGGCCCTGACAGCATTGCAGGGAAAAACATGCAACAACCCTGTGGATCATGGAAACAAACACATACGACGCTTCATGAACAGCTAAATACTGTGTGCCGTGGGTCCGTGTCTCACAGCTTGGCACTCGCAGGTCTGTCTTTCCTTCGGAAAGCACGTGCTGTTTTGAATAATTAAGTAGCCGGATCTTCTCATAGGATAAGAAAACTCAGCTATAAATAATAATGAGAAACTGACGCGTTATCTTTGCACTTGGAGTTTTGCGCTACGTTGACGATTTTGATCCCGCTCCAAAAATCATTTTAAACCCGGAAGCTGAAGTGAGCTGACAAAAGCTCAAAATTATCCTGTTTATCCCACAATTAAAGCTAACAGGTGCTAACATTGTCGTAACTGATGCTCAACACACACAAATCTATTAAAATCTCAAAAATAGTACTCGAGGGTTTTGTATGTCCATATGTATGTCCAAAATTTAAGACAAGCAGACATATTCTCTTATCAACAGAGGCAGTTTGCAAACTATCATGCATTAAAAATTTGCCACCATTTCACCAGCTGCCAATGTGCCTATGTTGTTTGATGCTATTTCAAATTGGTGGTTTTGTTTTGCTCCCTATTAACCATTAATATGTCACCCTTCTAGGTCTAGGCACTATGGGAAGGGGGATAGTTGTGTCTTTGGCACGAGTGGGAATTTCTGTCATAGCTGTGGAGTCAGAAAAGAAACTCTTGGAGACGGGCAGGCAGATGGTGATTGGCATGCTGGAGAGAGATGCTAAAAGACGAGGAGTGAGTGCCTCCCTCAATCTCCTCAAGTTCTCCCTCAGTCTGCAGGACCTGAAGGATGTGGATCTCGTCATTGAAGCGGTCTTTGAAGACATGGCACTTAAGAAGCAGATTTTCAGGGAACTCTCCAGGGTGTGTAGACCAGCCACTCTGCTTTGCTCTAACACCTCTGGTCTGGATGTGGATGCGCTGGCTGATGTGACGGACAGACCTCAGCTTGTTGCTGGGATGCACTTCTTTTCGCCTGCTCACGTCATGAAGCTCCTGGAAGTCGTATGCGGGCCGCGTTCCTCAAAGGAAGCCATAGCTACAGCGATGAGCCTTGGGAAGAGGATGGGGAAGGTGAGTGTGGCAGTTGGAAACTGCCCTGGTTTTGTTGGAAACCGCATGCTGATGCCTTACCTAGAGCAAGCCACCTTCCTGCTGGAAGAAGGGGCAACGCCTCAACAAATCGACAAGGCTCTGGAGGACTTTGGTTTCGCCATGGGAGTATTCAGGATGTCTGATCTTGCAGGCCTTGACGTTGGTTGGAGAGTCCGGAAAGAATCAGGCTTGACCGGGCCTGATGTTGACCCCAAAGATCCTCCACGTAGACGCCAAGGGCGAAAGTACTGCCCCATTCCAGACATGGTCTGCCAGCAAGGCCGGTTTGGCCAGAAGACTGGTCGTGGATGGTACATGTATGACAAACCAGGGGATACAAACGCAAAGCCTGACCCACTGATCCAGAACCTTCTGGAGACCTACAGGAGCAGGTATGGAATTCAACCACGCAAAATCACAGATCAGGAGATCATCGAGCGATGCCTTTTTGCCCTGGCCAACGAAGGCTTTAGAATTCTGAAGGATAAAATTGCAGGCCAACCTGAAGATATCGATGTCATCTATCTGTTCGGTTATGGCTTTCCAAGGCACCGAGGAGGACCCATGTTCTACGCCAGCATGGTGGGCCTGGAAAGAGTGCTTGAGAGGTTGGAGTATTACCACCATGCCCTTCCTGATGTGCCTCATTTGGAGCCCAGTCCTCTGCTGAAAAAACTTGTGGCTCGCGGAAGTCCTCCTATCCAGAAATGGAGAGAGCATATTAAAAGCATGCACAGTCATCTCTAAGTGCACTATGTTCAACGTGCCAAATATGTTCAGCTTAATGCACTACATAAAACCTGCCATTAATAAAGAATAGATTTTCTAAACTCTTCACCTCGTCTTCTTGACAATTTTTATGTGTCCTTGAATAGGTTTTAATAGCCTCTGGCTGTGTATTTTTAGCTTTTCTTAGAAGCAAACTCTTGCGGTTTCCCATTAGGGCTACTGTCAGTGATTACCTTGTTCATTTTTGCACTGATGTCATATTGGTGTTTCATTCACTCTGCATTAGCCAAGTGCCCTTTTTATCTTTGATTGATTTTTCCAGGAAGAGATGCTTCTCAGAAATTGCACAAACACCAACATCAAAACTATTATCAGTTAGAATTCCAGCCTGAACTCACAAGGAAACGTAAGTATTTTACGCGTTGACAGTTTAGTGGCTAATCCGTAGGAGTTGTACGAAAATGTACGATTTTAAAAAGGAGGTGTGGCATCCAACCCTATCCCTTACCCCAACCATCATTGGTTAATGAGCAAATCGTACTGAATTGTACGAATTAGATCATACAAATTCATATGAATTAGCCTCTAAATAAAAAAGTTACATTATTATTGAGATTGTGTTGAGAATTCTGTTTACTATTTATTTTAAAAAGGGTAGAAGATAAACATTTGAAGTCAGAATTATTAGCCACCCTGAATTATCAGCACCCCTGTTTATTTTTTATAATTAGGCAAGTTATTGTATACTAATTCTTTGTTCTGTAGATTATCGAACAAAATATAGCTTAAAGAGGCTAATTATTTTGACCTTAAAATGTTTTTAAAAAAATTAAAAACTGCTTTTATTCCAGTCGAAATAAAACAAATTAGACTTTCTCCAGAAAAAAAAATCAGACATACTGTGGAAAATTTCCTTCATTTGGTAAATATTTAAAAAAGAATAAAAATCTAAGCTGGCTAATAATTCTGATTTCAACTGTACATTGATTTATGTGATTCAAAGCAGGATTTGTTGCATACTTACTACAGTTTTCATTGTCACACAAGCCTTCAGAAATCATTTCAATGTGCTGATTTGCTGCTCAAGAAGCCGATATTATAATTTTCAGCATTGAAAACAGTTGTGCTACATATTTGTTTGTGATATTTTTTCAGGATTCTTTGATAAAGTAGTTAAACAAATCAAGATTTATTTAAAATAGAAATCTATTAATGTAAATTTAAACCAAAAATCTTACCCCAACATTTCAGTGCTACTGTGAATATATGCAGTACAAATATACAGTGCTAAGCATAATTGAGTACACCCCATTTTAAAAATGAGTATTTTTCTTTAATTCTCAGTGAATATAGGCAATGTATTTTGGTGCATTTAAATAAAACAGATTTTTTAAACAGATATATTTATTAAAATAATATTTTAGTCAGAGTGGCGCAGTGGGTAGCGTTGTCGCCTTAGGTCGCTGGTTCTAGCCTCGGCTGGGTCAGTTGCCATTTCTGTGTGAAGTTCGCATCTTCTCCCCGTGTTCGCATGGGTTGCCTCCGGGTGCTCTAGTTTTCCCCACAAGTCCAAAGACATGTGGTATAGCTGAATTGGGTACGCTAAAATTGTCCCTAGTGTATGTGTGTGAATGAGGGTGTGTCAAGGGGTGTATGGATGTTTCCCTGTGGGGTGTTCACAGACAGTTCATTCTGCTTTGGCGATCCCAGATTAATAAAGGGACTAAGCCGAAAAGAAAACGAATGAATGAATAGATGAATGAATGAATGATCGAATGAATGAACGAATGAATGAATGAATATTTTAGTCACCAAACTATATTTAGAAAATTGAATATAATGCAATTGAATTCAAGCAAAATATTGCAATGATAAAATCTACAAGCTACAAAATTTCAACTATATATACATATATATATATATATATATATAATTTTTTTTTTACTTTTATTGACTTTCTTCTTTTTTACAATTCTATTTAATATTTTTCTATGACAGATTTGAGTGAACTAGTTTTTGGACTATTAGCGCAAGTGATTTTTTTTTAGATTAGCTCTAGTTGGCATTTATATCCAGATATGCTTCAGCACTGAGTAATCTAATGTATATGCACAAATACATTATTGCATAGCTTCCTATTAAAAATATGAATATAAAAGATAGATTCGTGAGGGCTGTACTTATACAGTAGGTAAGACTTTAACATGACCATTACTGCCGCACCTTGTACCGCTGCCGCTCTAAAGGAGGAAGAACATGTTTTTTAGGTATGACCGCAGTTTGCAATGCAGTCCAGGGACTGGATGTGAATGGACAGATATAGCCTATACAGTATATGCTGAGCACTGTATGTGTGACACTGGACCACGTCAGTATATTTGTTACAATTGTCAAAAATACATTGTATAAAAAATTGAGTGAAAAGTATCAAATTTAATTTAGGCTATCATTGGAATATTTAGTAAAGATTGTTTGGTAAAGATAGAAAGCATATTTATTGAGCTTGCATATGATGTATAAATCTCAACATAAAAAAATGGAAATTGTATCATTTAAATGGCTGTGCGTTCAGTTTGAAGAGCTTTTAATTATTTTGACTAAGGAGGGTCTATGTGGAAAGGCTGGACTGTGATGTGTAGTATGTATAATGTGATTTGTGCTTTGCTGCAAGGGATAAGTTAATTGGTATTTGCTGCTGCTGCCGCCCAAATATATTTGAGGCTGTTTAATTAAACGCCACAAACCTCTGCATTTACCCTTTGAACTATGTCCACAGATGGTATGGCAGTCTAAAAAAAAAGAGTAAATGCAAATCAGTAATCTCTCTCTCTCTCTCTCTCTCTCTCTCTCTCTCTCTCTCTCTCTCTCTCTCTCTCTCTCTCTCTCTCTCTCTACTATATACAGTCAATGTCAAAATTATTATTCCTTCATGTGTTTTTTTTTAAACAAATATTTTCCAAATGATGTTTAACAGAGTAAGGAATTTTTCACAGTATTTCCTATAATATTTTTCTTCTGGAGAAAGTCTTATTTTTTTTATTACAGCTAGAATAAAAGCAGTTTTTATTTTATTAAAAACCTTTCAAAAACCTTTCAAAGTCAATATTCTGCAATAATGCCCCTTAAGCACTGTTGTTTTCAATTGTCTACAAAACAAACCACAGTTATACAATGACTTGCCTAATGGCTGTAACTTGCCTAATTAACCTAGTTAAACCTTTAAGTTGCACTTTATCTTGAAAAATAGCTAGTAAAAATGTTATGTACTGTCATCATGGCAAAGATTAAAATAGATCAGTTATTAGAAAAAATAGTTATTAGTTATTAAAATATAAATATTAGGTATTGAAATAAATTAGTTTGCAATTTGTTATTAAACCCAATATGTTTAGAAATATGTTGAAATAATTTTCTGTATTTTCTGTAATTATAATATCACTCTGAAAGTTCTACAGCGCCGTCTGTTGGCCAAGTGTAGTGACTGCAGCTGTGTGTGCAGAAGGCTATAATATTTGAGTGGTGTTCGAGTAGCGCTCGCTCAGTCCCGCAGCAGCGTCCACCGCGAACAGCAGCACGAGGAGCTTCACGCGCCGCTGGGCTTCATTTCTCACACAAGTTTACATTAACGCTTCTTTCATGAGCTTCCCCACCTCTTTTTACCCTCCAGGACCCTTTCATCTGTACGTTTGTGCCTCAAAAAGGATCTTGCAGACACCGTTATTTTAACCCAGTTTTATTGAAATGCATGTGGAAATCTATGAAGACCTTTATTAAGGATTATTGGCATGTAGTTTAATGTGGAAAAATGTCTAAAAGGATCTTAATACAGATGTTGTGGGAAGTTTAATGCAGATGTTGTGATGGTTGGTTATCAGCTGTGAAGCGCAAACCTGAATAAGGTAAGCAATTCCTCATACTTTTATAGCTAATCATTTATTTTTAATACAGTAGCATTGTCCATAATATACATGTATCACATTGCTATATTATGTATTACGATAATATTATATCAGTAGTAGTACAATATATAATTAATGTAATACGTCCCTAACTTTTTCAGTTAGTTAATAAAGTTTCAACTTTATTTTTACGTACAGTAATACAAATTGTAACTTGTTTATATGTTTATAGTATTTTTTAATATGTTTATAGTAATGTTTATAGATGTTGATAGTTATTTTATTTGATGTAAGTTGAAATGACTTATAAAGTTAATTTAATTCAGCTTAAGAGTCAAATTTTCTGTTATAATGCACTATCGTTTAAAGTGTTTTTATTCCTCCAACATTAGTTTAAAGGGATAGTTGACCCGAAAATGAAAATACCTCATTCATCACTTACCATTTATTTTAAACATTTATTCGAATTTTCTGTTGAACACAAAAGAAGATATGTTGAAGAATGCTAAAATCCAATCATATCCATAATATTTGTTTTTCCTACTGTACCATGAAGTCAATGGTTACAAGTTTCAACATTCCTCAAAATATCTTTTTTTTTTCATCAGAACAACGAAACTCAGAAAACCACTAAGTAGTAGATAGTGAGTAAATTTTCATTTTTGATGTAAACTATCACTTTGCACAGCAACTCTCTTGTTTGCAGTGAATGTTTGGTGACCTTCAGGCGGGCAGTGTATCGTTATAGCTTGACTCTTGTTTTACAGTTATCATGGCCTACAGTGGAGCGCAGAAGGCTTTGAAGAGTGATAAGTTAGATGAAGCTCAAGCTCTGGCCAAAAGCTGTGCGGGCAGACCGGACTTCCTCCCCTGTGATGGACTGTCCATCTGCGCAACACACAGCCATGGAAAGTGTTTCAAACTGCACTGGTGCTGCTATTTGGGCTGGTGTCACTGTAAGTAGGCAATTTCTGGCAATCAAATGCATTCTATTCCATTTCATTCCATTCTGCCTACATGAAATAATACTTAAGCAATGTATAGTGTTTTCAAACAGTACTATAGTAAAGTACTTAATCTGTTCTCCACAGTAATTTTCATTTTGTAATTGGTTTTGCAATATAAACAACTCAGTACTGTACTAATTGTCTAGAACTATATAATGTTTATTACATGACACTACACCACCATAGTAAAAACTACAGTATTTATTAGTTTTTCAGTTCACTGTACACTGTAAACCCAAAAAGTTAAGGTAACTCAAACCATTTGAGGAGACCGATTGCAACAAACGATTTAAGTTCAAAAACTAATCCCAGTGAGTGCTTTAAACTTAATCTATTTGAGTAAACGAAGCAATTTGAGCACAGTAAAACCCAATAAATGAAGAGAACTCAAACCAGCTGAGTACTGTAAAACCCGATTAGATAAGGCAACTCAAACCATTTGAGGAAACTGCTTGCAACAAACTATTTGACATAAAAAAAACTAATCTATATTAGTACTGTGAATTTACTCCATATACGTTGAAGTAATGAGGTATAATTAACTCATTACCTTCAACACTGAGTTCAAAACTCTTTTCAAATGAGTAGAATTCACTTTCATAAAGTTGACTTGGGTTTTAAAGTGTAGCCATATTATAGTATATCATTCATTAAGAAAGGGATGTAGATACTATTATATGTACAGTATAGTAGACTTTATATGATCCAAAAGCACTAAATACTATAAATTACTATATATATATATATATATATATATATATATATATATATATATATATATATATATATATATATATATATATATATATATATATATATATATATATATATTATTTTTTTTTTAATTTTTTTTTTGTGGTATTCTCAATTGTGCACCCCAAAATGAGGAGTTACAGAGAGTTATTTCATTCATACATAACAAAGGCACAGCTGATAGAATGATTAAAGATCTCTTCAAACATTTTATACTGCTAAAAGAACCAGAACAATTTTTTCTTATCTCATAATTCTTATTTGCGATGCTGTATGTAGCCTTACTGATAAAAAATTGAAGTGTACCTCTTGCAGTTCTAAGTTTATTTTTCAGAAATCCATGTTTGTACAGTATCTTGCAGTTAATCTTGTCATTCCAGGTTCATAACTCACAACTACAATTTTTTTATTGCACTATTATGACAAAAAGTCACATTTCTGACTTTGTATCTCACAATTCCAAGTTTATAAGTTATAAGTCTGAGTTTAGATGGCACGGTGGCTCAGCGCTAGCAAGAAGGTCGCTGGTTTGAGCTGGGCCAGTTGGGATTTCTGTGTTCGTGTGGGTTTCCTCCAGGTGCTCCGGTTTCCCCCACAGTCCAGAGACATGAGCTATAGGTGAATTAAATTAACTAAATTGGCTCTAGTGTATAAGTGTGTCTGGAATGAGCGTGTATAGGTGTTTCTCAGTGATATGTTGCAGCTGAAAGGGCATCTGCTGCATTAAACATATGCTGGAATAATTGACGGTTCATTTCACTGTGTTGACCTCTGAAATAGAGACTAAACTGAAGAAAAATGAGTGAATGAATAATTCTGAGTTTATCCTATAACTCTGAGTTAATATTTCATAACTTTTAGTTTATTTCTTAGAATTCTGTATTCGTATATTGCAATAGTGAGTTCAGTCTCACAGTTCTACGTTTATATCTTGGTGCAATTATGAGTTTATCTTAATATCTCAAAATCATAGGTTTATGTCACACAATTCTGTTTATATTTAATAATATTACTTTTACTTTTAGACGTTTAAAACTTTTTTATCAGGGTTTACAAGTTAATAATACGTTTGACTATCTTTTTGATATTTGCACGTTTATCTTGATATAATTCAAGTTCAAGTTTAAGTTGGCTTTATTGTCATTTTAACAATATACAGTGCAGTATACAGTAAAGCGAAACAATAGTCCTCCAGGACCAAGGTGCTTCATCAAACAACATAAACTGACAACATGAGACAGGACTGTGCACTACTATAAAAATCTAGAGAATGAAATAAAATAGGATAAACTAAAATGAATAAATGAAAAAAGATTATGTATAAGAATTTAATAACAATCTATAATTCTTCTTAAAATATAATATAGATTAGCAATCATAATTCCAGGCTTTCAATTCTAGGAATAAGAGTCTGAATGAGGAAATATAGAAAAAAGTTGTGAGATAAAAAGTTAAAATACGCTTCTTATTTTCTATTCTTTGGTGAAAAGAAAACATTGATAATACACTGCTGCTATCGTACTAGAAAAATTTGTTTCATTTATATACATGCACAATTTTCCACTTTCTTCAGTATTTAAGTGAATCTACGCTATTAAACCAGACATTTATTTGATCAATGCTATGCACGCAACCTGTTTTTTTCTTATTTATTGTCTAAGCTATTTTGGGAACATTTACAAGCTTGTATTGTCATCAGAAACTGCTGTCTGTTGTCGCATGGATGCTTTTTCAGCACAAGCTTGAGAACTTCTTAGTAAGCAAGATGCGTACACCATGAATAGCAATATCTCCCCAGAAATATCTCACCGGCAGATCCAATGTGAGGGTTCACCTTTATGCTTGACTTTCTCAAAGCAGAATGTACCCCAGCTGAACCTTTAAATTCTCTGCTGTTTAGCTGGATCTGACCCTTAATCCTCCTCTCATTAGCATATACACAGGAAGCGTCTGCTCGGCTCCTGGAACAGGATATTCACTTCCTCTAGTTCGCGACACTCTGACTGAGATCAGGTCCGGAGTGATTGCAAAAGCTTTCATTGTGTGTAAGAGAGGTAAATGTCAGTTTGAGACCTTTGGAGCTGATCAAACTGTGAGTTTAATACCCTCTCACAACACTTCCATCAAGGGAACTGAACTTTATTGAGTTCAGCCATCAAATAATAAAAGAAAATTATCCTCGGTGGCCCTCGGAGTATAGTTTTTTTTTCCAAGAGATTCTTATTCAGTACCCCAAACCCCCCAACCCCCCCCCCCCCCCCCCTCTTTTTCTATATTTATTTATACCCTTCCTTGATTTATTTCTGTGTAAATCTCAATTAGCAATTGGCCAGTTTATGATGCATGGATTTATTTTATAAGTTTAAGACACCATTTACACTAATATGTTTTAGTTTAAAAAAACACAACTTTTGTTATGATTATGCCTTCTGTCCACTATACCCCGGAAAATGAAGCGTTTTGAAAGCACTGAAGAGGCCATTTTGGTTTTAAAACATTGCTACTTTATGGATGTGTGCATAGGGAAAACTGAGGCATCTGAAAACGAAGACACGGCTGCAGACATTCGTTTTATGATTGGGGCTTCTTAATATTAAGTACACAAAGTTCAAATCTTGCAATTATGATTTCCCATTTTATATCTTACAATTTTCAGGTTATATGTTACTATTCTGAGTCTATGGGCTCTATTTTGACGATCCATGCGCAAAGTGCAAAGCGCAGGGTGCAAACGCATTCAGGGCGAGTCAGAATCCACTTTTGCTAATATAAGGATGGAAAAATCTGCTTTGCGCTGCAGCGCATGGTCTAAAAGGGTAGAGCTTTTTTTCTTAATAAGTTATAGGTGTGTTTTGAGAATAAACCAATCAGAGTCTCATCTCCCATTCCCTTTAAGAGTCAGTTGTGTGGTGCCATGGCACATGTGCTATTTACATGACGTAAAGTAAGTGTAAGTGGAAAAAGTGAGCATTTCACTAGCAAGAAAACAGTTGAACAGAGCATCTACAGCGGGAGAATGAGAGATCAGCCTTCTTATGATCTACTTTCACTTTTGTTCTCATGGATAAGGAAACCTTGTACGCACAGATGTCAATTAGCCCATAAATAATTAATTTCGTTTTGGATTTGTTTCAAAACTATTTCTAAATACAGTTCTAATTTCCAGCTAACGAATAAAAGACAATTATAACGAAGTGTGTTCAAAAACCTGAGTTATATCCTAAAACACATGCTGTGCCCCATATAGTCTAAAACCTGACAAGTGGGCAAACCTAAGCTTGTTTTTAATAAAACAAATATAAGTATGCATATAATAAATGATACTGATAATAATAATATTATATGAAAGGAAACTGTTATAAATAAACTGAAAAAGCCCCCCGAAATGAAGAAAGCATAAAAGTATGGTTTTTATATTTATGTAGACTATAAAAAAATTTTTGTAATATTTTAATTATATATCTTTATATACTATATATATATCCTTATTATATCCTATATATATATCCTTAATATTTAAATTTTTTTCATATGTAAAGATATTTGCCTATTGCTCTAAATCTTGTGTGTATTAAGCAGTGTGTAAGCGAGGCGCACAACTTACGTGCTCTGCGCTGGACAATAGACAGGCTTTGTTCTGGTCTATTGAAAAATCTATTATAGTTTCTCAAAATAGCAACGCGCCAGCAATGCGCCTCAACACACCTTCCTTTTTAGACCAGAATGCCTATGGGCGCACATATGAGCGCAAATGCATTTGCTATTTAAACAGCGTTGCGCAAAACGTCAAAACAACTCTTGCGCCAAGCTGAAACTAGCAAACAACAATTGCGTCGCACCTTGGGCCACATTGCGCTGGGTGTATGATAGGTAGGGGTGTCAAAATTAATTGTTTCTTCGGTGCACCGCGATGCAGACGCGGACAATAAGGTATCGGTTCAGTAATAATCATAACCGGTTATTATGTACTGACGTCATTTATCTCCTGTGCGCTCTGTCGTGAGGGAGGTGAGCGTGAGTATTTACAACTCTCAGCCATCTCAGGGCCGGCCCGTGGCATAGGCACCAAAGGCAAATGCTAAGGGCGCTGTATATCCAGGGGGGCGCCAGAAAGGAACGCGGTTCAGTTAGTTTTGTTTTCAAAATTCCTGACACACATTCAGTTATAGACGGCAATAACTCAAAAACCTCTTACC